AGATAAGGTATTCGAGGCCGAGGTAAATGGTGCAAGAGGGGCCGTTTTTCAGTGGAAGAATTCCGTAGACATTGTAGACTCCCCACATTGTATCCAGCACGGCGCCGACGAGAAGGTCTATGAATGCCATGTTGACTAAGAAGATGCTGAAGGGCATGGCCCGGAGCGAGCGACTTGTCACAATCGCCAGGAGAATCAGTGCGTTGCCGAGCACGGTGATCACGCTGAGTGCGCCCAGGCTCAGTGCCAGGCAAATGTGACTTATGTCCCACTGGATGCTCGTCTGGGATGTTAAATTATGTTCAATGCTCCCTGGGAACGGAGAAAATTGACGATCTTCGACTCGCATTGCTGGGGCGAACACCATTATGACGTAAGTAGCCGACTTTTGTTTGATAGGCAAAAACCCTCTCACTTCTCTCGTCGTTTCACTTGCAGCAACGATATTCGCGTGAGATGTCCGAAGAATGGGACTGTTTTGCGCAGAGCGATTCACTTCAGTGCATCAGAGAACCAAGACTGCACCAAGAGATACATTGTACCTCCGTGACATGGCTTGAACTGGGCATATTTGTGACAGACGTGACATTCACCAGCGAGCTTCAAAGTAAACAGAGTCACCATTTATATTGGAGTGCCCGCAGAAGATGACATCAAGATGTGGCTAAGCGATTCAAATTAGCGAATGTGCTTGTTTTCACGCTCCATTGTGAATCACATGCCCAGCTCCATGTCACTGGCTGCCGACATAGCCAGTGAATATATTTTCGTGTCACGTGCCGCGTTACCGTGAGGACTTTCACAAGCTAAACTAATTTTCGCAATGCACTTGTGTGACCACAACGTAGGTAGCATGTTACGACGCACCCTAAGGCATACATGCATATATATATAACATATGCGCAGTGAGTATGAAAAGCTGTAAGCTTGCAAAATAATAAGGAAATTTGCTCTCTCTACGCTAGGGTAAAGAGAAAAGAAGGCTCGGATTGCGTCCAAAAGTGATTGATTCAAAAGCGCGATTCAAAAGCGTCCAAAAAACAAACATGCTGATGTCCCTTATTAAAATGTGGTATCAATTATCGACTCGCCATTTATTTGAGTGGATATCATTCCTTGAAAAACACTTATCTCGGAGAGTTTGACTTGTCGGGCGGCTTATGGGCAGCACGGCTTACCCACCCCTAACCATTTTATTGGAATGATGCAACTGTACCGCCCCCGGTTTCAGAAATGCTAGGTTAGGACATCACCACTGCTGTGAAATACCTGCAAAACTTCAGCGGTTTTCCGTGATACTTGCAAGAGGCCGAGCGATGGGTGATGGAAGCGGCGTGGGCCTCAGACAGGAAGGTGGGACACGCTGGACGTCATGCGCTGATCCCGGATGCAACCCGATCGCGAACCGCTCTGCTAATGATCGACACAGGGAATAACTTATGATTGACCTCGCTCGAGTGGTGGGCGCTGATACTGGTTTGACAGTGATGTGTTAATGATATGCTGTATGTTACCACTCAATGCGGCTACACCAATGCATTTCAAAGATATCAGTTGAACCCGATTATATGGTTAATAAGGTGAAAGCCACGAGGATGACGCCTAGGTGCTGCTGACATTCACACAGCGGTAGGCCGACGCCCGCGATAATACAGCAGTTGAGCGACGAAAAATACACGAGGATTAAGATCAATCTCGTGTTACTTTTCTTGTGCTTAAATGTCCTGTCTTTAAGAGTCTAGGAAGGTCCGGACATCGAACTCCCACCCCCCCCCCCCCCCCCCCTCCCTCCCCCAGCCCTCCTCTGGCGACGCCCGCCCATGATACAAGGCATGAGTTAATGCGGAAAAGCGATGCAGTACCAGAAAAGTGGAGTTCTTTCCAAGGACGATAGTGCCACCAGGGGCCGTCGATTTACTTAATTGGTTGAGATGGGCGAGCCGGGAGCCCGGCAAGCTGACCTCCACGTCTGTGTGGTTCTCATAGTATGCACGAAGTCCTCATTGTTTTGGAAGTAATTTGTATTATATTATCAAATGCTCCTTTATTTGGCCAGTATAGTGTTCATGCCACAAGATGGCAGCGAAGCAAGCAAAATGCAGTGCATGATCTCAAGAGGGGCATAAACATTGATAAGCTTGGTTACAAGTTAAATTTGTGCTATGTTAACAGTGATGCAGCGTCCACCATACTTGATGGAGTCGCAGCAAACAAGCAAATGACCAGCAGTCATGCACCGCCTGAATGTTTAGTGGCGAAAGCTGCCTGCAGCAGAGGCAAATGAATTTTGACGTCTACGCGGTTATGACGGAGTTTTCTGCTTGACTTACACATTGTACACTTTCGATCTGTCTGGTTTTATGTGATTGTCTTTCTCTTTTTTCAACGACAAAATGACAACATTTTTTCGTACGTCTCTGAACACGCGCTCGGATGGGAGGATCAAATTGCCCCTCCTCCCCCCCCCCCCCCCCGAAGGCTTTTCCAGAATGGTTTCCGAACGGCGCGGCGTAGCCGCGCTAAATTTTTCATAGCTGTAGACAATTGAATAGCAGATCGTTTGGCATCCAAAATTTAGACGTACCTTGGAAGGTCGCTGATCTATGGTAGGTCAAGGTCAGACCATGGTTTCGGCGGAGACAAGTTCTCGGGAGTCCTTCAGTCTGATCCAACAACGGAGTGTTAAACGAAGCCATACATCTCTGAGATGCCTTCTTAAGCAACACAACAGTTGAAGGAGCAAGTTAAATTGACCTAAGGTCAAGTGTGAAGGTCACACCAAGGTCAAAACCAGCGTGTTTTGTTACTAAAGGGCTTGCTGCATCTGATAGCTTCTGGCGCTCATTTCGAGTTTATTGATAGCAGGAAAAGCATTGTAGATCTTCCATGGACTTCTTAGAGGTCAGAATGGGTCATTGATCTCAAATTAACCAGGTCAGCATGTTGTTTTATGAACATACTGACTACCGTAATCTTTGTCGCTTAGTCAAATGCAAAACTCAAAGCAATCTTGTATGATTTTGGTCATCTTGACCTTCAAAAGGTCAAACAAGGTCACTGACCTTGAATGAGAACGTGACCTTTTGCTTAGAAACGGTTGTCTAGATTCTGGGGACACTTTGGAGACCAACCTCGAACTTGACCTTATTTGACCTGTTTTGACCCGAAGTTCATGACCTAAGAATCTGAAACTTTGACCTAAGTGGTTTCACGTACAGGTCAACATACCGTGTAGATTTGGTGTATCTAGCTTTCTTAGTTCCCGAGATCTTAGGGGGGGGGGGTCAAATTGACCCCTGGCACCCAAGTGAAGGGTACCTAGCCGGCCACCTGGGCGCGTGTTAATGCACGTAAAATTTTCCATCAGAGGGATTACAGGATGCTTTATCAGAGCATTCTACGAGGAAGACACAGCCCCGTGCCCCATCCTTAAATACGTCATGGATTGTCAGCCCCATACCCCCTCCTCGAATACGTCATAGGTAGCCTTATCTAACCTTAACCTTACAGTAACGTAAGGACCTCAGGCAAGGTAACCTTACAGTACGTAAGGATATTGCGAATTTCTAGGGAGTTTGCAAACTGCCTCCTGGAGCATTTGCAAAGTGTCGGACCAGCCAGGGAGTTTTCAAACTATAGAATGTCTGCAGAAAAATTTTTGGTCGATGCGTGTCTCGGTGAAGATGACAGCATATTGCGTATTTGCTTGCCGCTTGGAAAAGTTCTCTAATCTCCTTATGACTTTTCTACAATCACTTGAAAACTGATGTGACATTGCACCCATATTACTGCCGCGTAACGTTCAGCTGCATCTATTGCAGCAAATGTTCAACATTTGAAGATATTGAGTATGCGCCACGGTGAGCTATCCGGTCGCAAGTTGTATTGCCGTCATAGCAAGGAAGAGTGTATAACCCCTGGTATCATGTAGCTTAACACGTAATATAATACCATGAGGTATGTTGAAAGCAAATTGACGGCCGCCATGTTCAGAAGTCGTGCTCCAGAGCGCCAGATATAAACGACTCGGCAATTGCATTTTCTGGATGTTGAACGTCGCTTAGCCAATGAAATGGCAAGATTGGAACGGCGTTGATATGGCGTCATGGATGCCTGGGTGACCTTGAATACTCTGCGCCAAATCTACACATCTTCGCGGGACTGTACCCCAGAAACTAAGGGGACTAAGGCTTTAAGAAGGGCTTGGCTGTGAGCTGCACCGAACGATCTTCAAAACGGCTATTCCAGTTAAGAGTTGATACAAATGTGGAACACTCCCTTATAAGTGTTCATTCACTGTATTTGCCTGCTTGTTCCCCTTGCTGGCAGGCAACTGCGCATTCGGTTTTCCTTAGTATTGACAAAAATCCCGTAAATGTCACAAAAGCCCCAACCAAAAAGCTTCTAACACTTATAAAGTTTATAAACATTTGTCAACAATATTTGCTCCTAGGTTAATTGCATTGCCCTACGCCATCGTTCCTGGCTATGCACCAAAGGAAGGAATGACTGTCCATGTCATTTATTGTGTCAGCGTTATACATGTAGCGGGTCAAGCACTGGCAGTTTCACTTTCCGTAGTGACGGTAGCGGCCCTGATCTCAAAAACAGATACTCCCCTCGAGCCGTGCCACCTTTTAATAAATCAACACTCAATACGGTGATACAACGCGTACAATATATGTTCACAGATGGCAAGCGAGTGCAACTATGAATAACAGTATCTACACGCACCCACATAATCATCACATTTTGTTCGTTTTTTAGTCCAATTTGTCCGACTCCACCACAGGTAAGTGCAATGTGAGGGTGTCCAGTAAATGGCGATGCCATTCGGCGCACGCGACCTTTCACTTGAAGCATGAATATAAGCTCGAAGCATTTTCCATGTTCAGCCCTTCAGTTGTAGCAACACTGGCGCTCGGCATACGGCAATGGAAGGCCATCGCGCGGCGTATGATCTCGCTCCGCCGCCAGGGGCTTGCTACGCGCACCGCCATCTATGTTCCATTCCGCTGCACCAGTAGTTCCAGCTCATCCGCCGAGCGACGCAGGAAGCTGGCCGACTCACGATAGCCACTCGCCAGCTGGCGCACGGCAGTCACCTCTGCCGCCGACAGCTGGAGCTGCGGTGGCCTCCTGAAGAATAGCTCTCCGGCTGTAACACACAAACAGGCCATCTGTCACCCAGGATGTCACTGGAATTCGATGCTCCAGGAAGCAGGCAAATCTTGGCGGAGGGGAGGGGGGGGGGGGGTCCCAAGTGGTGCTGAGAGGGGCCAAACTGCTGGCGTGGAACTGGAAGGCCACACAACTGGAATGGTAAGATTATCGCTGCAGCCGAGAGCCATGCAAGGTGGAAAGGTGTTCGGTAGTACCAGAAGTAGCATCGCCAATGTTGAGGAGAGGTGAGAGACAAGGTCCTTCACCCCCTCCTCGGCATGGGCGATGTTCTCGTCTGTCACGTTTCCGTTATATTTGGTTGAATTTGCTTACTGGAATTTCATTGTCAGTACTTAGCATACATCATACCTCAACACACTTCAAGCCAGATGAGAGTTATTTCGTGATGCATTGCTAATGTCAACAGGGCATGAAACCAGTGAGAAAGGTTCGTCCGAAAAAGGCATGTCCTCAAGCGCGCTCCGCCGTTGACTACCGGGACTCACGGGTACTGCTGGCGGGCGGCTGGCCGGGGCTGGCCGGGTCCCGCAGAAGCTGGTGCAGCAGCTGCTCCACGTTCGGCCGGTAGAGGGCTCCGGTGACCGGCGGCGGCGGCTCTCTGGCGGCCGGCGTACCCTCCCAGCTGGGCGGACGGCCCGGAGACGGCGCCACCGCCGGAAGGCTCGCCGCATCCGGAGCGCTCCGAGCCGCGGCCGCAGCTGCAGCCTGGCCACCGACCACGCACGCTGGCACCGTCCGAACGGCTGAGGAGCCGTCTCGTCACGTGCGTTACGATCACTTGGTCGGCACTGAGAATGCTTTGATGCTCTGCTAGGTTAAGGAACAGCTAGCGGTGTAGTTTCCTGTTCAGTTGGAGCGGGCTTGAGCCCCCTCCCCCCCCCCCCGAAAATTGGGAGGAGCACTTCAGTCTCTCCAGAATTTAAGAATAAACTGAGGCAAAATAGAGAAAACCTGTTTGTTGGTGTTGGTGTTGGTGTGGAGCAGGCTGCATCATGTTCTCACTGTTTAACCCCAGTCCGCCTAGCTTAGTTGCGGAACTACATCTCTGGAAGCAGCAATGCCGTGACATTTGAAACGTGTGGTGTACCGACCGAGGCGCCATGAAAGCAAGCGCTGATTACAATATCTCGCCACAATTTCAAATTTTACAACTTCAGTCCCTTGGATTTTGCTTAACCCTAGAGGCATAACTCTAAGCTTTTCATAGTGAAAATCAAGTTAAGCTTGCCACAGACGCGCGAAATTTGCTGCATGGTATTAAACAGCATAGCATGCTTTTAATCTGATTAGTTTTACATATTGATCCTGAGTATTTTTGGGCGTTGACATTTAGTCGCGCATACATAAATGTTTGCCAAAAAGGGTTAAAAGTGGTGTACATATACCCGGGGGCCACAATGACGCCACTGACGCCACACAAGACGTCTGACGTCACTTGTCTCGCAGCATCTGACGGTTTACCCACCTGCTCGCCGGCTGGCCGATGGCCGGAGCCCGGGGTGGCGTGTCGCCGTCTGACGTCACTCGTCTCGCAGCCTCTGACGGTTTACCCACCTGCTCGCCGGCTGGCCGATGGCCGGAGCCCGGGGTGGCGTGTCGCCGTCTGACGTCACTTGTCTCGCAGCATCTGACGGTTTACCCACCTGCTCGCCGGCTGGCCGATGGCCGGAGCCCGGGGTGGCGTGTCGCCGTCTGACGTCACTCGTCTCGCAGCATCTGACGGTTTACCCACCTGCTCGCCGGCTGGCCGATGGCCGGGGCCCGGGGTGGCGTGTCGCCGTCTGACGTCACTTGTCTCGCAGCATCTGACGGTTTACCCACCTGCTCGCCGGCTGGCCGATGGCCGGAGCCCGGGGTGGCGTGTCGCCGTCTGACGTCACTTGTCTCGCAGCATCTGACGGTTTACCCACCTGCTCGCCGGCTGGCCGATGGCCGGAGCCCGGGGTGGCGTGTCGCCGTCTGACGTCACTTGTCTCGCAGCATCTGACGGTTTACCCACCTGCTCGCCGGCTGGCCGATGGCCGGAGCCCGGGGTGGCGTGTCGCCGTCTGACGTCACTTGTCTCGCAGCATCTGACGGTTTACCCACCTGCTCGCCGGCTGGCCGATGGCCGGGACCCGGGGTGGCGTGTCGCCGTCTGACGTCACTTGTCTCGCAGCATCTGACGGTTTACCCACCTGCTCGCCGGCTGGCCGATGGCCGGAGCCCGGGTGGCGTGTCGCCGTCTGACGTCACTTGTCTCGCAGCCTCTGACGGTTTACCCACCTGCTCGCCGGCTGGCCGATGGCCGGGGCCCGGGGTGGCGTGTCGCCGTCTGACGTCACTCGTCTCGCAGCATCTGACGGTTTACCCACCTGCTCGCCGGCTGGCCGATGGCCGGAGCCCGGGGTGGCGTGTCGCCGTCTGACGTCACTTGTCTCGCAGCATCTGACGGTTTACCCACCTGCTCGCCGGCTGGCCGATGGCCGGAGCCCGGGGTGGCGTGTCGCCGTCTGACGTCACTCGTCTCGCAGCATCTGACGGTTTACCCACCTGCTCGCCGGCTGGCCGATGGCCGGAGCCCGGGGTGGCGTGTCGCCGTCTGACGTCACTTGTCTCGCAGCATCTGACGGTTTACCCACCTGCTCGCCGGCTGGCCGATGGCCGGAGCCCGGGGTGGCGTGTCGCCGTCTGACGTCACTCGTCTCGCCGTGCTGGGTCAGCGCCAGAGCGTGCTCAGCCCGGAGGTGCGGCAAGGCGGAGCTGGGTGGCGCGGCCGGTGCGTGCCGCCGTGCCAGCACCGGCCACCTGCCGTACCCTCTTGTGGCGGCGGCACGCCTGTGCCACAGAGATCATGTCAGAAGGGCACGACCAGTGGCGCACGGCGCCTCCCCCTACATCGGCTGGGGGATTTCATGCAAGAAATATAATATCAGATTGCGGCAGACACGTCATATAGAAACTCCATGCAGGGGCACTGCCCAGCTTAGGCCGTCGGTATGTCCTGAGGCTCCAAAGTCTGAGAATAGGTACCTGCAGCACAAAATGGAAAATGAAAGAGCCTTTGAGTCACGCAGTATTTTCTCCATCCCACTTCTGCATGCCAATATTTGGAAACGAATCAGGCATACGACTTGACACGTTCGACTCGACACGTTGTTGAAAAATAACTTTCAACAAGAACGCGTGACAATATTCTGAAAATAAAATCTGAATCAAAGTTCAGTGAGCATCCCGGTCCCAGATTACACCAACTTGACTTATCTGGTGTTAGTGGGTTATTTTAATATCCTACAACGTAATTTTGACGCATTTTCTAGATGGATGTTCGTTGTTTTGTAGCATCCCTCACGCATAAACCAGGTGCCTGAAATCACTGTTGTTGATTCTACTACATGTGGATAGTGACCATGAATTATACTGCATATAATTAATGATCATCATTCACATGGGCCGTCGTGTTGATCACGTTGTCGGCTAACTCGTCCCACGCACTCTTCCCTACATCAAAACGGAAATAAAGGGCTCAAAGTTGAGAACTGAACGCTTTGTCTGAAAAGATTTAAGCCGTCTCAATCCTATTCATATTTTCGCCCAAGCCATTGCTGTAGATGTCGGAACAGGACCTGGCGGCGAGAGGACGTAAACGCTGGTCAGGGCAGATAACTCAGATTCTGGAGGATAGTGACGCGCGCGTGGGCAAGGCCTGTCAGCGGCCCGAAACAGCGCCGGGTCAACGGGGTAATGTCTTAATCCCAAGACAGCAAGCAGTCAAAAACTTAATCGATAAACACGAACACGACGTGTGGCTCTTGTTATTTGGGCAGGGCTCGAGTCAAACTCTCCCAGAATGGCGAAACAAACGCTGGTGTGTGTGCGATCATATGACAAAAGTATGTAGGCAAATGTGTGTATCGCAAATAGGGCGTACACAAATGCTCGCATGCAGACTCGCCTCGTCGAAGGTAACGTAGTTATCTGATCCAACGTACTATTTGTTAGCGCAGATGAACGGAGATACGGAAGTGATCACATCGCAGATGAACGGAGGTACGGAAGTGCTCACATCGCAGATGAACGGAAGTACGGAAGTGATCACATCGCAGATATAAAACTTATTTTCTCAACTGCAACTGTTGGTAACGCAGATTTTCGCAAATCCTTATGTACGCATGCTCCAATGTTCGTTTCGCAGATGTCCGTATCGTATCGTAGATGTTCGTAGCCACAAATGTTTGTAAATGCGGATTTAAAAACATTTTCGAACATAACAGTTTTCATAGCACGCGCACCTTTTGACTGGATGCATTTGTGGATGCAAACCAGCGCCCGCGCCAGGCGCTGCTCGTTGGTCTTGTCATCAATCAGCCTTGGTCTCACCATCCGATCGTAAAATTTCAGATTAAAGACAGAATTTCGGTGAAATCATGACGTGCCCTTATCGTCAGCACGGCCAGTCCCACCTGACGTTTAACACGGCCTCTGCCATCGGCCGCACCTCGTAGGTCATCACCGTCAGCGGCAAATAGCGAGCGTCTAAAGCGACTTGTTACCATCACGCCTCAGATGGATGACTGGGAATGCAGGCGCTCTAACCAACCGAGATGTCAGAACGGACACAGCTCGCATCACAAAAGCCCATTTCCGCAGATTTCCACATCGCAGATGTTCGTCAAGGGTGATGTTCATACCGCACATGTTCGTATCGTCAGTGATGGTGCATGAACACATTTATGAGATATATGCTCGTAATGCACACCAAAAACACAACTTGGATGGGTGCAGCTTAGAACAAAAATCGTGTGAGCTAGCTACTTAACTTCAGCGTAAATATTCGTTATCGAATATTTGCGCTGACGAAAATCTGCGAAACGAATAATTGTGATAAACACGCTAAGGGATCACGAACATTCGCGCTCATGGATATTTGCGATGCTAATAACTGCAGTACGTACACCTGCTTTCAGACATTTGCGTTACGTACTTCTACTGTATGTGCGTGTGCTTGTTCGCTACACGTTTTACACAGACGCTGCAGTACGGTTTACACAGACACTGCAGCTGCAGTTTGCATCAGGCACCCCAGAAAGGTACGCGGGGTTGGAGTGGGACGGAGCAAGCAGCGAGCCCATCTGCACCCCGCGACGCGCCCAGCTGAACTGGACTTGTGTCATGCGATACTCATCCACACTTTGGTAATCTCCACCCAATCGAAGTGAGCTGTGATCGCACTTAATACTGGTTGCCGTGTGCACCAGCAAGTGCATGGTTTCTGTCAACCGGCGAGACGGACCATCACCACAGAGTGTAGGGTGACTTCCTGCCGGCATGCAGCGACTCTTGCCTTTAAGTAGGTACGCAGACGCTTCCTAGCCCTGTCGCCAAACTCCGGAAACTGACGCATGCACGACTCCATGATGGCCTGCACCCGCTCTTTGGGCTGCTTGCTGATCGGGATCGTGCGGTCCAGGCTCTCGTCGGCAAACAGACGAACAAACATCTACAACGAGCAGACGGAAGCGCCATCATGCGGGAGGCCCAACCTCGGCTCGACCAGCAAAAGCTGCGGCATCTATCAACCTAGCATAATCGGGCGGACAGTTCAGGATCTTTCGGCATTTCTGAGTTCGGGGCTGCGGTCAGTTGTAAGGGTTCGGGGTCAAAGGGCAACACTTTAGCAGCGAGGAGAGCATGGAGGAGGTGGAGGTGACGGAGGGGACAGAGGTCAGACAGCATAACTTCATATTTATCTCTTTCGCGTCCAGCTGGACAAAGTTTGCCACGCTGCCTTACCCAGGTATGAGAAATTACAACTGATCCAACTGGAAATGATACAGGCCAGTCTCCGCCCTCAGCAGGGTGGCTTTGGCTCAGGGGAAGCCCCAGCGCTCAGGGCGTGCACATACTGACGTTGAATGCCTTGAGTCGTTCTGGATCAGTTGTGACATCATCCTTCCCGTCAGCATCCTCGTCATCGTCTGCTTCCTCATTCTCCTCCTGTGTGTCCGGCAGTGGTGGGGTTGGCTTTGACTTCTGATGTGGTGACTCTGTTGCCTGGCGACGCAGTGTTTGTACGCCTTATTGGCGTGGGCGTCCACGGGGCCTATGTATCAATCATATGCATTTGACTGACTGTACGCTCAAGCTGTGAGATTTCACATGCTGAACTTAACCGCACTAAACAGGTACCATTGAACAACGGGTACACAAATGGCGAAGTTGTTAAAAAAACAACCTATGACACTGCAAGCATAACAGTATGAATACTACCTCGAAAATCTACAAGATAATATTGATAAACATGGTGTTCGAACACATTAGAGAGGTGGGCGGTGATGTACCTGGATTGCGGATATATTACACAGCAATTAAAATTCGAGATCCGATTCCAAGAGTGTCAATGACGTATTTTGTCTGGCTGCAGCATAACGTTTTTTTGCCAAGCCAAAACGGCAGCATAAGCGTAAGGAAAGTATTTTTGTTTGTATTTTTATGTTCCATGTTCTAACTTTAGATGCTTCAGTCGCTGACATGAGCAGAAAAGCCATGTTTTGCTTTGAGAATGGATACCCGATGCATCTGAACGTAAATAACGAGCATTTATGGAGACAAGTATCTGTTGGCGAACTACCCCTTAATCTAACAAACGACATCAAACGCAACGTGTTCAAGATTAAAAAAGCCTAATCAAAAGCTACCGAAATCCCGAAATCCCGTGTCTATTGATGGCACATACGCACACATATGTATGTGTGCGTGCGTGTGCATATTTATATCATTTAATATGTGGCCGTTAAGATTTTGCAGCCGATTTCGAAGCTCGTGACTTAATGAACGAAAGTATATTTCGTTGCATTGTGGCTGAACTTGTTCATTAATTCGTATACCTTTAAAAAAAATAGACGTTCGTGCATAAACAACTGCAGCAGTAAGATAAATGACGTGAGATGCACACAATGCAAAGTCATGGACCTCCACTTTGACCTACTTCTAACTATAAAAATTATTTTCGGGGTACCTGGTCATCCAACTCCGAGGGAAGTGCTTTCGCGATGGATTCGGTCCGTGAAGCATCAACAGGCTCATTCATCTCGCACGTCTCGGGAAAAACTTTACCTGCAGCGTGACACACGTACCTAATCAACGTGCAGAACATACACTCCCGTAATGTCCCCTCCAGAAAAACCAAATGGATTGGCACATCGCCGTCGAGATCCGACCAGCTGAGAGCCTAGTGGGGATCATAGTTGAGCATGATTCGAATGACCTACCAATGAAAAGGCCACAGATAAACGCTTGATTCAGTCCACATGCCGTTGCGTGGTAGGTATTTTTTATCACCACCAAAATGTATACTTTATCAGGACGGTACAAAATAAAGAAGTGGACTGATTTCGTGCATTGTTTTTTCCATTTGCACCCACTTTTCTTACAAGACACCATCATTTGATTTTCTTTCATGACAGCTCACCATTATTCTGAAGCTCAAGCCGTTCGAAAATGTCATTTTGCCTCCGACGTTGTTTCTCCTGGAAAGTATATGACACGAATAGCACCATCCATGACGAGCAAACACACGACACGAATATAAAACATGATCGCCTTCGTTCTGCCAACAGCGACCAGAGGGCTAGGGGAAGCCATTCAGTTACACTGTCCTAAGCGCAGAGCAATGCCGGTTGACAGAGACGGCCGCTAATGCTACGAACATTTCCGATAGTTTAATTTGCGCAAAGACATGTACTTATTTAACTGTTCTTCGTACCTTACATCTCCAGCGGGCACCAAGTCATGTTGATGCAGGAAAATGGTACAGAGGCAACAGAAAAATGCCAAAAAAATATAAAATCGTTTTGAGTCGACGGAAATGTCATGAGATGTAGGGCTGATCAAAATAAATGAATGCTGATATGACCTGAAAGTCCCACAAATTTAGACGAATTGATCAACCATGCGAAGCGGAGAAATTGCGATGCCTATGAGAGGAATGATGCGTGCAAACGGAGACGGAGACAAATTTCGCCCATAAAACATCTTCAGGCGGACAGGTCGCGCCTGATGGCGGGAACAGTGTTGGTATTAATGGGAGCAGGCGGGCCCGACCGCCTTACCCACCCGACGAAAGTCGGGTAGGTGAAGCGGCCTGGGGGTCTTGGGGCTGAAATGTCGTTCTCGTTTTCCCCGGCATGTCTTCTTGCTCGCATCGGCATGTCTATCTATCCGCCCTGCGAGGCCTTAGCTTACATTTTCAGGGTTTAGTATTTCATCTTGCACTCCTCATGATGAACGGCGGCCATGTTTTCGCTGTTCGTATGCATCCTCCAAAACGGAGGGCGGACACGCAAGGGCTCTACAAACTCCAAAATGGAGGTCAGCCATGCAGCGGACTTCCGCACCCTCTAAAAAGAAAACCTAGATGCTGATGAGGTCGCGGCCAGCTCTCCAAGTTGCCCTTCATGAATCAGCGGAATGTCGCTGGTAATTCGCATCCGACTGCCAAAGAGCACACGCCAGCTTGCTAGCTTTAGGTCGTTACGACACTGATCCACGCGGGTGCCGCCTATGTGCCTTCAAATATTGTCTATGCGGTCTGCTGACGTTTGCAGTGTCGGGACAATAAATCATGCATCAACATATTGCTTGTGTCAAACTCTGTCAACTTCCAGTAGATATGCCGCAAAATATACAGGACCTTTCATACAACCGTGTCAGCGGTCATGGCGGCAAACAACGAACCAGACGGGCACCGAGCGTCTCCTGGACAGAGGATCCTCTTGAAATTAATGCGTGATGTGGCAAGAAAACGCCACGGCCGCGGCGGTGGACCAAGACCCTAGAACTAAGCGGTGGACGGGTGTGCGGAGTGTTGCTCATTTCAAATAAGCACGCCTGCACTGGTTTTAAGCCCAACTGCCCAATGGCGTACCTGTCTTACCAGCCCATAGGGTTCACAAGTTTAAGGCATGCCTTCGGAGCGCTGTAGGTCACATTTTGGCCTGCCGATTTCAACAAACCCGGCCCCAAAACTACCATTTGTAATACTTTCTTGATAGCGCCCACTTATCAGTAGGTATCCTCTACTATAATGGAGGTCGATCATTTTCAGAATGCGCACTCCCAACTCGCAACATGTTTGTACGCTTGGAACGTAGGTGGTAACGAATGGTAAAAGACGGAGTCCACTCACCAGGACGATTCTTTCAATTATTGCAGACAGTGACTGTTTTCGCGGACGTCGGGAGAACGGCTGGTGCAGGTCTTCCATTTCAAACTAGGCGTTGCTTATTACATGGATCCCTCAGCCTTACGCTGCACTTGAAGCAGTCTCGACTGGTGAACGACTCGCCAATTCGCCTTCAAGGGGCTTACTGAACATATAGCAATAACAAATATGGGAGCACGCGCCAGGGTTTTCACAACACGATTACTATTTTAGTACTTCTCACAGCAACTTTACAACGCGGCCCCAGGCAGCTTTACGCGCTTCTGCCTCGTCGGCCAACATTTATTCGCGCAGAACCCCCAGAACCTTTTGCCCTGCCGCAGAGCGAGATACGCCACGCTGGTTAAACTAGTAGCAAATCCGCGAGCTGCGCGTGGTGTGAGGGGATTTCAACAATCGCTAGTCTCGCGCAGCACGAGCATCCGCACAAAAATGTCGGAGGCAAGATCGATTCACTGTCCTCGTGACAAATGCTGGGTAAACTACTGCAGAGCCCGCGGATATGTGCTTTAGCCTGCAGTGCTACGAATGAATGGCATGCCGCTGACAGCCAAGCGGGATCTACAGGGGGCCGCTGAACACTTTTTGCCCACAGCTCAAGGGTCAGTATGCAACGGAGGGAAGGCACGAGTGGTCTTAGGACTATCAACGGTTCTCTGTGTTATCAACACGTTGCAATCCACTCTTGCAATATTGGTATGGTACATTTAAACTATCAATTTTTACCTTTTAATCTTACGAGCTTTAAGCGTCTGTATGAACGTCTATGAGAGCCTTTTATGATTCTCATGGCATTGGCTTACGAAGTCAAAAGCACAAGACGTCAAAATTTGATTGAACGTGTTCCCTTGGATTGGCTTATTGATGTTCGACGAACCGTGCAAGAGCGGTACAGCCGCACTCTCCATCTGGTACTCTACTTGTAGCAAGAGTGTACATATTTTGTAAGTATCCTGTTCAGCCTGAAAGCGAATGCCATGCTTTTCTTCGATCCACCTGCGGTGGAACCGATTCGAGCTCCGATTGCATTGCATCCAGGTTGATGACCAGCGCAGCTATGGCTTCGAACCGCGCAGTGTTTCAATATTCGGCCACTTGGCTGTCAGAGGTGTCGATATCATTTCCATGCCATTACACCCCGGCCTGGGTTCCGCTACATGTTGTACCTCCCCGTGCTCAAAATCGGCCAATCAGCACCGAACCGGGCGGCGGTCAATCCAGCATCTTAGCACCTCAGGCTTGACAAATGGGCCGGACAGGTCAGATGTCTGGGTTCGGGGTCAAAGGGCAACGGATCGGCGCTGACGCATAGCGTGTGGAGGCAGCCAGACAGCCAGGATTCCAGCAGCGCGCAACCGTGATTCGACTCGTATCCCAAATCGAGAAGCTATCTGGACACTTTCGGATAGGGTCGATTGCTTGGACGACAGTTTGGGAGAAACGTGTTTTATGTGCTTAGTAAAGGCCTCCATATGATGTAAAGCTTCATAGCAAGCCGCTTTATTCGAGTGTGACCCTTTCGGTGGGCATATGAATGGGTCCTCAGACTACAATGACGTGTTCATTTTGTGTATGAGTCTGTAAGTTTGGCATAGGACTTGATTTGCATCATTTTGGGTGGGTCACTGCCCCCACCCCTCCCACCCCACCCCCAAAGTGCAACTCCCCCCCCCCCCGCCCAACTCTGCCGCAACGGTAAGTTTATTTCCTCAAACTTCTGGGGACTACGTACAAGCAGGACGTAGAAATATCCATCTAGTTATTTATATTTGTGCTGAAAACCCGCCGGTCGAACACTAGCACCCAATAACGTGACGAAATTACTCGCCGGAAAGAACCCTTGGAATGTGGCAACCTCCACTTTGACGTGAACGTTTAGTGGAACAATTGCGAAACTTTGGCAATCGACACCAGCCGAAGTAAACCGGTGGCGGTAATTGTCCGACAATGACCACCACCGACCCCGCGCCGACACAACACTAGCCGTGTCGAACATGCCTGACGCGGGTGCCGTGTCGCATCCCGCAGCCCGCCTTACGGCCACTGCAGCGCGAGGTTTCCGTGCCAGCCTTCAATGCTCGCACCTATCAGCTTATATTCTGCATGCCCGAAGCCGTACGCGTCCAACACTGTTTGAAGCCAAATGTCATCGACCTTGCGTCAATTACCGAAACTTGGTTTTGTCCACCGACACCCAACAAAATGATGCTCGGCGATATCTTTCGCAGAGCAAGAAAGAGCGAGGGAACGTATTGGAGCAGTGGTATGGTTTCGTATCCAGTTGGGTTTTTTAGCTCCTAAGGTTTAGAGGAAAGTGGATCAAATCCGAGGAGAGCACTGCTTTTCAGTACATTTTAAAGCAAAGGTTGAACATTTTCTCCGCTCGGTCGCTCCAAAACCTACTTGCGAAACTACATCCAGGTGGTGGAAGCTTAATAACCCTGACACGCGACAATTCGCCAACTCGCTACTTCAGCGCACAGCGCAGGGCACAGCTCCAAATTAAAAAGCGTCTTCTTCAATAGGCAGGTGTATCAAAATCGCTGTAATAAAGTGATCGGTAACGCACACCAACCACGCGGCGACATTACAGGTTTCAAGGATTTCGACCGCATTGAACACAAATTGCAAAACGAATCGGTTTCCTCCACTGTGCATTGCACAAAAACAAGACGCCTACACAACTGCAATTTTGCATTTAAGAAAGCGATGTTTCTAGCACATAAATCCCAATGCTGCATGTTGAGAGAAAATGCATAAAGTCGCACTCTTCGCGCGCGAACACATCCGTTTTCCCGGACCGCTTTAGTCTTGAACATGACGCTATGGGCAGGCCGGCCGCAACCTTTTTATTATTCGTCTTCAAGGGGACATACGCGGCGCATTAGTGAGTGCGGGCGGCCTGCTGCGTGAGTGGCGGCAAACATACGGCAGCATGGGACAACACTTACAATGGCACGCGGAGAGCGCGCCGTGTGCATTCGATAGAAATACTGTAAGGTTATCCATCATCTGGCTCTGGATCATGCTTGTCGGCCTACAGAATCCGTCTCATTTAAATTTATTTTATTTTATCAGAATCCATGATCGTTAGGGGGTTCGGTGTAAAAAAGGGGAGCACTTGAAAATTCAAGCAATCCAAATTACGTTTATGGATGATCAGTTCGGCTAGTAGGGGTTTGATTGATATGCATCCGTCTAATTGCCGTTCGTCAAAGTCACGTTTCGACAAAAAGGCATGCTATTAATTATTCGGTGATTTCGGTTCGTCTTCTTGTGATTTGTCTAAATCCCTAACACGGCGGTCAATTCGTTTCTAGCAATTTGGCGTTTCGACAATTTACACGTCGTCAGAAGGGGATGTTAATATATTGTTTGCCTTCGTCGTTCGCCTTTTTAACATGACGGCGAAAAGAAATGGCAGCAAAGTCATTCAACGAAATAGCATTCGGTTAAACGACGTTCTGAAGTCGGAGCAATGGGGCAGAACGCAAAAACATCTGGACAGGCCGGCCTGACAAGCAACGGGACAACTTTTATGCGTTTTGCGCGTTTTGCGTGCAGGCTGATCCATGTTTTGGATCTCTTCAGTTGTGGCGTATCGGAATTTGGAATGGGATGGTCAAACAACTTGCGATAAGGCCCTTTATCTGTCAGGGCCTCTTGGATTCGGTTTAGTCATCGTAAGGGTTCGTGGCGCTAATGATCACAGATTTTAATCGTCGCGAAAATCAACACCGTTGTCGCAGTTTGCCCATAGACAACAGTCTTCAACGGCATCTTGAGATAGCCAGAGGGATAAGCTGTTTGGTGTTGATTTGACCTCTACGGCCCGGTCTGACCTTCAAATGTCACATTCGCAACTTCAGCCACATCCAGCTGACGCAGTTTAACGAAAGCCGTCTGTAGCTTCTCCGCTGCGGTTCTGGCTCGCTTAATTTCCGAGATATTCGGGGACCTCTAAGGCTCCCTCACAGGGCGAAGATGACATGATTACCGTAGTACCATGGTCGAGACATTTGGAACGTTTTGCCGCTGTACGCGCCTGTACGACCATGTCTGTCAAGAGATTTCCGTGTTTTACCAGGGGGAACGCATTTTGTCGCACGTTTCGGAGACGCCATCAGCACGTTAATAGACCAGGCTAGGTTGGAGTCCATTCTCACGCCCAGGTTTTTCAAACAGTGAACTGCGGTCGCTTCGGTCCGATCTGCCACAGTGTCATGTTTGGCAGTTGGCGCTGTAGCTGTGGAGTGCCGCAGATGTCTTACTGCGTTTTGGAGGCGTTTGGTCATAGCTGGTTTGCTCGGTACCACGTGTGCAAACGAGAGTGATTGGTTTCGAGGCGAGTCGTCATCCTTTTTACATCGTTGATTGAGTGGCGCCCATGATCTGGAGTGTCAATGTAGCTGATAGGATTGCAGTCAGCATGAGAGTATTCGTACAGAACAAAAACAGATCAGCACGGCCAGCCCCCCCCCCCCCTCCCCCCCCCCGAGCGCCACCCGCGTTGCTGGGAGCACTGTCGTTCCTGCTCTCGTGCGCTGCTTTCCATCCGCCAAATAGCTGAAGAACCAGGCGGGGTCAAAACAGCACCACCTAGGTCGTGAAACAGCCTGGGATAGCTGACTTATCAAAAGTGTTAGGGAGATCTGTGGAAGCGACGGATACATGACCCTTGCCCACATGAACTGCCACGAACGATGCGGCAGCGATGGCTGTCTCGGTAGGGCGACCAGACTTACGCATGCTGGTTGTCGCTTATGACGTCATTTTGACGCAGATGCGCGATAAGCTGGCTCATGATAATTTTCTCGCGCAGTTCTGAAACATGGTGAAGCAGCATTAGTGGAAAGTTATTGCAGCCATGGGTCGCCCGTTTTTGTGCAAACACGCGAAAAGTTAGCCTCCAGTCGTCAGGGACTGTTCGGGAAGTTTAACTTCTGTTGGTAACATGTAAAAAATAAAATCTACGAAAGGGAACGTGACTGTGAACAGTTGCTAAGTGCTTTACAAATGTGTTTTACAAATTTTGGAAAAAGAGCATTCAGCAAATATGCATTTCACTTATTACCATTCCCTAAATTTGATGCGCCGCCAAAAAAGCATGTGCATAAATTGCCGTTCGACTTTTGTTATTCCGACTTTTGGACAAAGCAACAAAGACACATCAACAAAAATAGCTTCGGCTAAATGCATTTCGATTGTGTATTCGGACGCCGATATCGCGGCTACCTGAGCACAGGGGAGAACAAAAACTCCGCCTCACCTCTTTCGGCGGAAGGGGAACTAAAAATGTAAACGCTTAGAGCTAAGCGTATATGCCGTTCTGCCACTGGAACCAGGCATGATAGACCGACACATTCGGATCCCTCTGCCTCAGTCCGTAATGTACGATAAAGATCGGCCAGCACCAGAAGAGGTAAAAACGTCGGAACTCGACGCATTTGATCTCTTGCTTTTTCTTGCATTCTCGTGCTTTCAAACAGCCCCAGAACAAATCCCCCGCTTTTTGTGCAGGTGAATTTTTCACTAGGTACCAGATGACGTTCCCAAGGAATACCGGGTATGCATTTCGGGTTTAGCATAACATTTCGCCATCGAATGACACCTTGGATGAGCAGCCCCTGTTCCTTTTGAAATCCGACGCTGTCTCGAGCTAGACTTACCGGGCTGAAGGGCAATATCGTTGCCTACGTCCAGTCGGGCAAGTTCAACAGAAAATATTATTCAGAGAGCACACGTATTCATCCGCGAAAGGATGTCACGCATGGAATATCACGTCGCACGCAGTGCAGACGCCCGACTGTGGCACGCCGTCGTGTCCCACGTCGCTATTTCCTGACACAGCTGCCATGATCACCAACCCCTCGCTCCCGACCGGTGGCGCTGATCGCAACGCAGAGAGAGCAAAGCGGTTCGCGTGTCTAGGCCCGAAAACGAGACCCCTCATGGATGGAGAGTCAGTGTCTTACCTGCTGGAGCAACGATCATCTCAGCTGTTATACAATTGAGAGCAAGGAACCCACAACCCGGGCACAGGCAGCTGTTGTTATCTTTAGCGTGTGGCTTGACGCTACACCCAGTGCTTGCTGCCACATGTGCTGGACGCGACTGTGTCGCAACTTCCAGCTCCTCGATGCAGAGTACCAGGATCCAAGGCGTGCCTTTTTGTTTGGTCATATTGAATATTTGTTTAACATAAGTTGACTTTTCCACAGTCTCCACCAGGTCCGTCTGACGATGTTCCCACGGGCCGTGGGAACCCGTGCTGACCCGTTATCCCGGGCGCCCAGCCGCGCCAGCCCATTTACCTCGCATCCGTCCTACGCCGACACATGCAGACCCCGCGCTATGGTGTCTATTATCGTTTTGTCCACGACACGAGCCATTCAATGAAGACAACTGCGTATAATAATGGACATTTTACTGCCACGCTACATGTGCCACTTCCATATATTACAGTGAAACACATCCCAGACGACCTCGCACGCGGACACACGGCCCAAAAGTCGCCAGCTTGCCGGTTTGTGAACTTATTGATCGCATCAGCTGCCGCTTTATTTCAGCTTATGCACCTCGACACCAGCTACGACAGCATACTTTGATGGCTCCCTGTGCCTGATTTTATTCGGATATTCGCATCGTAATTTTGTCCTTGGCTTTATATTTGCCACGCGGCAGTGCAAGCTGCTAGTGCCAATCGCCAACGCGAAGTGGTGATGTTCGAGGTGTAGTCTCCATCAGTCAAACATCGGCCTTTATGCTGGAACGACACATTCCTCAGTTTTCACGAAGCTCCACAGCGTCAAGGAAACACATGGACGGTTAGAAATGTACTTCCCAAATCATGCATGGTACCATTCAGAGATACAGACGAGTATATGCATTAATCTCAATTCAGAAAGACACCGTCTGGTGCCTCGAAATATCAGACACAATACGATAACAGATGCGAATGAGATACATATAGAGATCCGAGGACTACTTGCCGGAGCTCTTATACCTTGCCTATGATAATCTCCCGTTTCCGGTGCTGCTATATATATATATATATATATATATATATATATATATATATATATATATATATATATATATATATATATATAAATATATATATATATATATATATATATATATATATATATATATATGCATAAGCGCTCAGCAGCGCTCAATTCCAGGCAGATCCAGAAAATGGCAGCCTGCAGCACGCCCCCTTCCGGTAGAGCCGGACGCCGCATATTCAGCAGTTACCCACTTGGTCGCCCACGGCTACGGGCAGCGAGAAGAGAGAGAGAAAGGAATAAGTCACGAAGCAGTGGCCGACAGCAACGGCGGCGGCCAGCCGATTCCCACAGTCGGACCCGCCGCGCGTTCTGGCAGGGCCCGCTCGCGCCGCGCCGCCTCCTCGGTCCGCGAGCGCGCCTGCGTCACACCCCTCGCTGCGGACGCACGCACACCGGCCGAGGGGTCCTCTCCGCTCTCCCTGCCACCGGCTTGCGCCGCCCGCTCGCGGCATCCCAGCCGCGTCGCTCAGACCGTGACGTACGTGGCGGCCGTGGCGACGCCGCAGTTGTTGTCCTTCATCGACATCAGCACGTAACCGTCGTTGCCCCAGTAGGTGGACCACGAGTTCTTCACTAGCCAGTAGGGTTCGCCGTCCAAGACGCCGAAGCCGACAGCCAGGACGGCGTGGTCCAGCTGATCCGGGTCATTTCCTGGGGGCAGAGGGGAGACGCACGGACTCAGAGGAGAGAGGCACGGACTCAGAGAGGAGACGCACGGACTCAGAGAGGAGACGCACGGACTCAGAGGAGAGAGGCACGGACTCAGAGAGGAGACGCACGGATCGAGAGGGGGGAGACACGGATTCAAAGGCCGGTGGGCCAGGCCGGTAGGTGATCTCAGCGGACGCTGCTTGCGGGTCAGTAGTAGACACCACAGGAAGGCTGGTGATGGACGCACACGCCACAGACAGACCCGTAGTGAACACACCCGCCGCAGACGAGCCCGTAGTGGACACACTCACCGCAGATACGCCCGTAGCAAACACACTCACCGCAGCAGGCCCGTAGAAAGACACTCACCGCAGACGGGCCTGCAGTGGACACACTCACCGCAGGCGGGCTCGTAGTAGACACCGTTGGCATAGAAGACGAAGGAGCGGTGCGAGGCATCGATGGCCACGGACAGCGGACCGTGCCTCCAGAGCGCGTACATGGCCGCTTTGATGTTGCCCGAGGGCACGTCCGTGTGGTCGGTGATGTGAACGGCGCCAGTCTGCGGGCGCACGAGACGGCAGGCCGTGGTCGGAGTCACTCACGCGTGCACGCACGCACGTACGCACGACGCACAAATCGCCGGTCTGACGAGCAGACCACGAGTACTCGAGTGATTCGGGTGCACGAGCTCCGTGCCGTGTTCATGAGGCATCGCAGAAACGCTACGCCCTCAACTCAGTGCTGAGACTGACAGCCTTCGCATAGTACTGCAATTGTCATTACCAGTATCGAAATGATCGCCCGAATTCGGACAAGCATACAGCTGTCATTTACACGATGGTTATTTTCAAAACGCACTAACAGAAGCCATTCGCATCTAACTAGAACATACATGCAAATTGACAAGACATGCAGCAAAACAAAAGCCTGCAGATCAAGCCACTGGAACGATCTATTTCACCACGAAAGCCCTTTGGTTCCTCTGAACCTATTTTTGGTAGAAAAGGTCGATGAAGAGTCGGCAGAGCAGCTCAAACGGCACACAGAGGGGGTAGATGGTCCTGTACCACTCACGTCAGAGACCGGGCGGGGCGGGGACACACCTGCGACTGATTAGCGTGGCAGAAGGCGTCCGAGCCGAGGTACGGTCCGTAGCTGTCCTCCGTCGGCAGGCCGTGCTTCAAAATCCATCTGGCGGCCAGACGGAAACCACGTGAGACTGGTTACAGGAAGGAAGGAAGGAAGGAAGGAAGGAAGGAAGGAAGGGCGGAAAGA